CCAGGACATGATCATTCCATGCCTGGAAAATGCCAGAAGTGGCATAAGCACTGAGAATCAAACTAATGTTGATACTAGCATAATCTGGAACATTTTAAGGTATAGCAGTTTGGAGGAAGTATCCCAGGCTCTTGGTGTTACTGAAAATACAAAGATTTCAGGAAAGAAGCTAGGAGACATGCAGAAATCCCGTGTACCTTGGACTTGGCTCTGCTTTCTGCCTGGCTCTGCTACAGCTCAGCCCTTTCTACTGCTGAAGGAATGTGGCCACATGGTATTTTAACTTTCTTTTTCCCTAGTGCAAACAAATTTATCATCAAAAATTAGATCTAGGGTCAGTTGTGTCATGTCATGTCGCAAAGAGTCGGACACGACTTAGTGAGTGAACAACAACACGCCACAAGGTGAAGGAAGAAAAGAATAAAATATCATTTAAATCAGGACACAGACACAAAAATATCTGTATCAGAATGTTAAACAGCAGCTCAGATTGCAGAGTCTAAAGGCTGGAAACCACCCAAATGTCGATCAACAGTACAATGGGTAAATAAACTGTGGCGTGTTCACACAACTGAATACTTGTCAGCAATGGGAAAGAAACAAATGACGTACCCAACTGCACGGGTGAAGCTCACAGATAGTGCATCATGGAGTGAAAGAGGCCACACACAAAACCACTGTGATTCCACTTGGTCCAGAGTTCAAGGAGAGGCCAAACTAACGGCTGCTGATGGAAGTCAGAAGAGCAGGTCTCCCTGTGGACTGAAGCAGTGATGGAGGGGCTTTGGGAGGGTGCCATGGCTGGTCATGTATGCATGCGTGATCAGATGTGTCCGACTCTTTGCGGCCCCATGGACTGTAGCCGGCCAGGCTCCTCTGTCCATGGGATTCTCCAGGCAAGAGTACTGGAGCAGGTTGCCATTTCCTATTCCAGGGGATCTTTACCACCCAGGGATTGAGCCCAAATCTCCACATCTCCTCCATTGACTGGCAGATTCTTTACCACTGAGCCACCTGGGGAGCATGCCATGGATTGGAGATGTTCAATATCTTGGTCTGGGTTGTGGTTATGTGGGTGTTTACACAGGTTAAAAATTCATAGATGTGCATTTTAATTTATGTCTCCATCTTTTAAAAAAAGGAACTACATAGTTAATCACATCTGTGTCATCCAATTATAAAACCTGTTATGTGATTCATCTGCATCTGCCTGCATATTGGATACCCTGAGGAGGTTCTTTAAAATGCATCCCTGGGACTTCCCTGGTGGGCCAGTGGTTAAGAATTCGACTTCCAGTGCAGGGGACACAGGTTTGATCCCTGGTCTGGGAAGATCCCACATGCTGTGGGGCAATTAAGCCCACACGCCTCAACTAGAGAGAAACCTGCATGCCACAATGAAGAGCCCTCAAGTAGCACTGAAAGATCACATATACTGCAAGTAATACCTAATGAAGCTGAAAATAAATAAATAAATATTTAAAAAAACAAACACGGCCCTTAGGACTTCCTTGGTGGTCCAGTGGATAAGACTCCTCACTCCCAATGCAGGGGACCTGGGGTCAATCCCTGGTCACGGAACTAGATCCCACATGTCGCAACTAACAATCCTGTATGCCTCAACTAAGACTCAGCACAGCCAAATAAATATTTTAAAAATAAATTAAACATATTAAATATTTTTTAAAATAAAGTATATTTTAAAAGCATAAGTAAATAAATAAAAATTGGGCTTTCCCAGTGGTTCAGATGGTAAGGAATCTGCCTGCAATGCAGGAGACCCAGGTTCGATCCATGGGTCAGGAAGATCCCTTGGAGAAGGGAATGGCAACCCACTCCAGTATTCTTGCCTGGAGAATCCCATGGATAGAGGAGCCTGGCAGGCTACAGTCCAGGGGGTCGCAAGCATCTGACAACTCAATGAAGACCCAGGGCAGCCAAATAAATATTTTAAAAATAAATATTAAAAATATTAAACAAATATTTTTTGAGAGAGAGCACATTTTTAAAACATATATAATTAAAAATAAAAACATATACCTTGATCCCACTCCCAGGGGTTCTAGAATAACTTGTCTGGGACATGGGCGATGTTTCAAGGCTCTCCAGGTAATGCTGATGAGCAACCAGGGTTGAGAACTGCTGCTCTGATGAGCCAATCCGCAGCCACACATGAAGCTTACAACCTGGGACTTCTGTCTCAAGAACAGCCCTATCCTCCCTCCCTCCAGATGTTTTCCATCTGTCCCGAGAGATATCAGAAATGACTGAAAGCTGGGATGGTCTCTAGCCCCAAAGAATCTCAAGTGAGAGGTTGGCACAGACCTCAGGGGGAAAAAAGGCTTTGTGGACAAGATGGATCTCAGGTTAAATGGGTCAAATGAAAGCAGAGGGAGAGTGGAAGGATAAGCATTGTAGGGTGGAATGGCATGAATGGAGGCACGGAGGCAGACCAGCCTCACCGTGAAGAGCACTACCCGTCTCTTGGGGCCTAGCCCAGCTGGAATCCTCTCCCTGGACTCTCCTATGCCTCCTCCTCACCTCACATGGTCTTTGTACATCCCTCAACTTACCTCCCTCCAGTGGTTGCTGCTGCTGCTGCTAAGTCCCTTCAGTCGTGTCCGACACTGCGACCCCATAGACAGAATCCTCCGTCCCTGGGATTCTCCAGGCAAGAACACTGGAGTGGGTTGCCATTTCCTTCCCCAATGCATGAAAGTGAAAATTGAAAGGGAAGTCGCTCAGTCATGTCTGACTCTTAGCGACCCCGTGGACTACAGCCTACCAGTCTCCTCCATCTATGGGATTTTCCAGGCAAGAGTACTGGAGTGGGGTGCCATTGCCTTCTCCTCCCTCCAGTGGTAGACTATCCATTTTGCAAGCCTGGCTCCTTATTAAACTATAAGCTGTCCCAAATACCATCATTGACATATCTGCTTTTGAACCCCACACCTTCTGACCCCATTTCTTGGATCAGCAGGAAGAAAGGGATAATGTTTCCAATGGGAAGTCAGGCTGGTGATGGTGTCAAATAGATCTGACCCCAAACGGCTCAGCTTGTAAGTGGTAGAGGTTAACTCAGGATCAGATGCTGGACACCATCCGTTTGCCCAGGTCTACTGTCCACCTGCTCTGTACCTGGGAGGCTGGGCCAGAGGCACTGCACCAGTGGACCCCTTTCAGGCACCAGTGACCCACAGGAAGCTCTGGAAGAAGACAAGAGGCAGGAGGAGAAAGATTGGGGCACGGATTCATCAGCTCCCCCTGCTGTGGGCTCACCAGCACTGTATCCTTCTGCCAGAGGTCACAGCCTCTGACCGACACTTCTTTCCATCAGTTATGGCAAGGTTTCTCAGCGGTTTTCTTTTTTTCCATCATCATCCTTCTCAGAAGGCTTTTTAAACATTTTCCCCCAATCCCTTCTTATCCTTTCCCATTATTGAGACTGTAATGCCACAGATATACTGTAGATCTGTTTCTATGTGCTGTGTATGTGTGTGTGCTTCATAAATAGAGTAAGATTATCTCCATAAAAAGAGTAAAATATAATATGCCCATAGAGTCCCAGGGCTCCATGTACATAACTTGAAAACTGAAATAACAGCTAATGTCCATGGAACATGTCGTAGAAACATGGTGCTGTTCTGAGCACTTGACGTGTATTAATTCATTAAATTTTCCCTGCCATGTACAGTTCATATCTGTGCCCATTTTCCAGATGAGGAAACAGATTCAGAGAGGTTAGGTAACTCATATAAGTCCACACAGTAAGTGGCCATGTCATATGAAGGACTCAGGGAGTTCTGTGTGTGGGTGTGTGTCTGTGTGTGTGCATGTGCTAAATAGTTTCTGTTTGTCTGACTCTCTGTGACCCCATGGACTGTAGCCCGCCAGGCTCCTCTGTCCAAGGAATTCTCCAGGCAAGGATATTGGAGTGGGTTGCCATGCCCTTGTCTAGGATATCTTCCTGACCCATGGTCTATAATCAGGATGTTTGATATCTGGAAAAATGGGCACTTCCCAGGTGGTAAAGAAGTGGTAAAGAAGATATAAGAGACCTGGGTTCGATCCCTGGGTTGGGAAGATGCCCTGGAGACGGACATGGCAACCCACTCCAGTATTCTTGCCTGGAGAATCCCATGGACAGAGGGGCCTGGTGGACTATAGTCCATGGGGTCGCAAAGAGTCGGACACAACTGAAGCGGCTTAGCACGCCACACACACAAACCACAGGCAGTGGTCACATGCAAGTTTGAGAACACAGGTGGGCCTTTCTTTACCTGAAATGTTTGAAATTTTCAATCAGAAAGATAACGTAGAGGTTTTTAAAAAGAAAGTCAATAATACTTTTCTTGCTGACCCTTGGAGCAGGTCCTGAGTGTGTGACCCTATGTGTGCCAGTGCATGTGTGTGTGTGTGTGCGTGTGTGTTGGGGTAGAGAAAGAAACTTCCAGAAAGTCACAAGCTGGGGGGAAAGTTGCCCAGGTGCCAGGCACCGTGAGGCTGGATTACGAGGTGATGCCCATTTTGCAGAAAAGGATGCAGATTCAGAGAGGTTGGGTAACTTATCGAAGGCCACATAGGAAGTGGTCATGCCAGGTGAGGAGCTCAGGGAGTTCTGTGTGTGTGTGTGTGTGTGTGTGTGTGTGTGTGTGTGTGTGTGTGTGTGTGTATCTGTGCTCACAGGTGACTGAGGGCCATGCTATCTTCCCCTGATGTCCTCAAGGTGTGTGCCTACATTGGGGGTGGGCCTTGGGGGGTCCCCCTAGAAAAATCTGTGGCTGCCTCAAGCCCCTGGAACTTGCTGGAGCCATGAGCCTCGCCCTCCAGGGGGATCACAGTCACCCCACGAGTGTGAACACCCCTCCCCCTGAGTCCCCCCAGAGTTCACAAGGCAGGAAATTCTCATTTTCACCCAGAAGACAGCCTGTCTGTTGGAGAGCTAGGAGCCTCCCTCTATTTTTTTTTCCTGAATGATAATTTCCCCCCCTTTTTTGTAGCTAAAAATCACCCAGGCTTGTCCAGACGAGAGGGCAGAAAATTATGCAGTGAAAGAGAAGGGAAGATAATTTCTCTGGGTCACAGGCATTCTCACTTGTCATCCGCCTGCAAGAGGAGAAGCGGAGGGTGGGGGAACCAGCCAGGATGCGAGAGCAGCGGATGAAAATGAAGGCTGGCCCAGATCCATCACTGTCCGCCTCGGCGCTCCCTGGGGGGATGAGCCTGGGGGAGGGCGCGAGGCAGGGATGGGGGCTTTGGGCTCTGATCAAGGGGCCAGGAAGAGGGGGAGAGATGCAGAGGGCCAGAGGGAGGGCAGGCCCTCTGTCCCAGCCGGACAGGCCTCCACATCCCCCTCCTCAGGCCTCAGTTTCCCTGTCGAGAAAACAGGGACGAGAACCCCCTCCTCCACATACCACCTGCGCCTCTCACCCATGCCAGAGAAAACAGATGGGAATGTTCTGGAGAATGTGGACCATAAGCATACAGAGTCTGGGGACTTTCCTGGTGGTCCAGTGGTTAAGAATCCACCTTGCAATGCAGGGGAAGCAGGTTCGATCCTGATCACCAAACTAAGATCCCACATGCCCCAGGGCAACTAAGCCTGCGTGCCACAGCTAGAGAGCTACAGTGAAGGATCCTTCATGTTGCAAAGAAGATCTTGTGTGTAGCAACTAAGACCTGATGCATCCAGACACATTTTTTAAAAAGACACAAGGTGTGAGAGGTAACATCACTGAAGCTCACCCAAAGCAGATGAACCTGCAGGCTGGAGGTGCGAAGGAGTGAGTTCAAAACCCAGTGCCGTCCCAAGGAGGGCTTGGGCAAATCACTCCCGTGTCTGAGCTTCAGTTTCACCATCTGTAAACGGGGGATAATAACACAAGCCATCTCACTGGGTTATTGAGAGGACGAAGGGAGAGTTATAAATAATGCCTTTGGCATATAGTAATCTCTCAATTATAATAATATGCTTCCCTGGTGGCCTAGCAGTAAAAAATCCGCCTGCTGATGCAGGAGACCAGGGTTCAATCCCTGGGTGGGAAAGAACCCTTGGAGAAGGAAATGGCAACCCGCTTCAGAATTTTTGCCTGGGAAATCCCACGGAGAGAGGAGCCTGGTCGGGCTGCATACAGTCCATAGGGTCACAAGAGAATCAGACTAGCAACTAAACAACAACAACAAATGGTGATAACAACAGAAATGATAAAAAATTGCACGGGAAATGGGAAGGAAATCCGAAAAAGAGGAGATATGTGTATATGAATGGCTGATTCATTTGGCGGTACAGCAGAAACTAACAAAACGTTGTAAAGCAACTAAACTCCAATAAAAATCAAGTTAAAAAATCACAAGGGAATGACTGGCAGTCACCCATATTAGTGATGGGTAATGCCTTAGAGTCTCAAAGTCTCCTGTTTTTTTTTTTTAATATCTTTTAAGCTTTTAAAGAGAAGCATGGAATCTATTGTCAGACAAACTGGTTTGAGTCTTAGCTCTACCACACACCGTGTGACCCCAAGCAAGTAACTTTACTTCCATGGGCCTTGGTATCCCCATCTGCAGAGAGCAGATTGTGATACCTCTCAGGGTCGCCGGGAAGATTATAAATACTGAGTGATGCATGCCTAGTCTAATGACTGCAGGTCTCCAAAAGTGCCAACTCTTCATCATTTCATATCATTTCTTTCCCTCTCCCTCCTCTTCTCCTCCTCCCCCCCAACTCCTCTGCCTCTCTCCTCTTTGAATTAAAAAAAAAAAAAAGGATGGAAGGAAGAAAGGATTTTTTTTTTATTAAAAAAAAATCAAAACCCCTACTCTGACTTCTCATTTCTTTGAGTTTATCATGTTCCTCCTGTCTCAGGGTCTCGGCATCTACTGTTCCCTCTGCCTAAAATGCTCTTCCATGCCCTCTTCACCTAATCAGTGCCTCCTCACCCTCAGCTCAGGTGCCAAGAATCCTTTCTCGACAGCCTGCCTCTCCTGCCCTGATATTCTCCCTCAGAGCATGGAGAGTTTATGATTTGATAGCATCACCCCCTGCACTGGATGGTAAGCCCATGTAACTTGATTCATTCATTTTACAGATTCTGATTGAGAACCTATCATATGCCAGAATGAACGATGGGGAGGAATGGGAAGCAGGGAAAAGCTAGATCCTCACAAGAAAATAAGTACAAGAACCCAAACATGGCTGGAACAAAGTGAAGAGGGAAGGAAAGAGCAGGGAGAGATGAGGTGCAAGGGGAGGTTGGATGAATACAGAAGGCAAAGGGACGCTGTATTAGTCAGCTACTGTAATGATAATGCTGCAGAACAAATGACCCAACATTCAGTAGCTTGAAACAAAAAGCAGTGAGTATTGCTTCATGAGTCTACGGGTCACACTTCTGGCTTTGTCTGGGCTGCCTCAAGCCTCTGTGGTCTGCCGCGGGTCAGGTAGGTACTGCTGATGGAGACTAGCCTCTCTTACATGTCTGAGGGTCAGCTGACTGACAGCTGAGCTAGAATGGCTTCCGCTGGGAGGACTCAGGTCTTTCCCATGTGGTCACTTCAGTAGCAGGTTTGCTTAGGCTCGTTCTCCAGGTGGAGGCAGGGCTACGAGAGAGAGCTGAAACTTTAAGGTCTCTTGAGGTCTAGGCTCAGAGCTGGTGTAGCATAACTTCTGCAATAAACTCTTGGCCAAACCAAGCGTGGAAGTCAGTTTGGTCCACCATTTATCTATGTCTGCAATAGCACAGCGCCAGGCACAGGTGAGGATCTCAGTCAATATTTGTGGGATGGACCGAAAGGTGGAGGAATGATGGATGAATGTTCTTGGCCTTTGGCTGGGTCAGAATTACGGGGGTCGGGGTAAAATTCCTCTGTCCCGATAATTAGGAGCCCCCGCTCCCCTCCCCCAGGGCTGAAAAGAGGAGTGGAGACAGCGTTCTTCCTCCCCAAGTTTAATTAAGTGATCTGCCTCCACGGGGCTAATCCTGTTATCACTGCCCAGAGCCGACCACAGGGGCGGTGTAAAATGTCAGCTGTCTGGAGGGCCTGGTGGGGAGCTGAAAGCCACTGGAATTTGGGGACTGGCAGGGGGTGGAGCGGAAGCCAGAGCCCCCATGGGGGCAGAACATCCGCTTTCCAGACACACACAAAGGGGCAAAGCTCAGCTTCAACCCTATCCCAGGAGGAGGTGCAGAGGAGGGAGTTGGCTAAGAAGCTTCTGCCTCAATGAGTGGACTTTGCTGTGGCTGCTGCCCATCCAGGCGGCATATTCCAGGGGGAAGCTTCCGGCCCCACATTCCCTCCTCTTCTAAAGAGGTGGACACTACCCAGTCATGGACACTCCCCTGTCTGGGACACAAAGTCCTGGGCCACAGGAGCTTAGGTTTGGATTCAATGTCAACCATTTCCTGTGTGGCCTTGGGCAAATTGCTTAACCTCTCTGAGCTTCCATTTCTTCATCTGTACAATGGGGGTGGTAATAGCCATCTTCACACGGAGCGAGTGCTCAGAAAATGCTGAGCAGGGGCTTCCTTCCAGTGTTATGATCATACAACGAACGGTTCCTTTGTCTCCCCTACCTCCCTCTGGGCTCTTGGGAGGAAAGACTGTGTCTTAGACATTGGGCCACCACCCTGCTCCTTCAGCGCCACCTATCACCTCGTGGCTTGTGACCAACGCGCCTGGAAGGTGTGCAGAGCGCACGCTCAATGACCTTACCAGGCAGCTCAGCTCAGGGTTTGGCAGGTGTTGCCCCAGCTTTTCACATGTGACTCATTCATTCACTCATCAACAGATTCTGGTTGATACCATTCCCCTGTCTATAAATGGGGTGTGGGAACAGAGGCAGGGTCATCCAACAAGACTGTTCCTCTTTGCTCTAAAATGTGGTGGTTTTGCTGGGGGCACTTAGAACTCCTCTTTTCCCCTGAATATGATTCCCTAACCTATAGCCTAATATTCCCCGGAAAGGCAGAAGACTTGCTAGTTTCCAGTCATGAAGATTCAGGACACCTGCCAAGGTGGGAGTGTTTAAGAGCAGTTGCTATTTGAGAGAAACAAACTAAGCTCCCAGGATGGGAATGGGAGGAAAAAGCAGAGCCCAGGGAGGCAAGGACCTTCACTAGTTCCCCAAGCTCAGTTCCTCTGTGGCATGTGGGATCTTAGTTCCCCAATGTGGGATCAAACCTATGTCCTCCTGCATTGCAAGGCAGATTCTTAATCACTGGACCATCAGGAGAGTCCCTGGAGTCACCTTTATAATAGTCACCAGCTTGTCTCCAGAGCTTTCCACCCATCATAGTCTGCTCTAGGCATTTATATTCCATCCTCCAAATAACCTGGGAAGCAGGTACTATTTTTATTCCCATTTTACAGATGAGGAAACTGAGGCTCAGAGAGGTGGTTGAAGTCACACAGCGGGTACATGGGGAGCTAGGCTACCAATGCTCTCAGAACCTCTGTTTTCTCATCTGTAAAATGGGGATAAGTCATTGTGCCTACCTCCTGGGGTGCTCAGAGGATGAGAGAGCTGTGTGTGTGTGTGCCCAGCACAGAGGGAGCAGGTCAGGGAGTCAACCACACGCGGCTGCTACCTGGTTAGAGTTCGCGGTAATCACCGACGGGAGATGGGAAAAGAGGACTGTCTATCTCACGCCACTGTGGTCTCCAGAAGTCATGCAGAAATGGCAACCCCAGAGAACTGCATAAAATCCAAGTGGTAGTTAAGCGGGACTCACGAGTGAACAGGAGTAATTAGTGCACTTTCCTCAGAGAGTAAAACCCAAATGTCAGACAATGCCAGGGCCATTACAGCTGGTCTCAACTGCAGCTCCCTCCTGCCTCTGGCTGGGTCTCCACCAGGCCACTGACCTTCTCGAAGGCCGTGGACAGCACGGTGGGGAGCTAGCCAGGCCTGGGGACTCGACTGCAGGACACTGGGTCAGCCATGCAATCTTCTCATCTCTGGGACCAACAGAGCCTCAACTTCATCTGTAAAATGGGTTGTTTCCACCTCATAGAGTTGTAGGGAGAATTAGATGCGGTTCTGGGTCTGGAATGTGAGTCATGTGACAGTCAC